TTGTAATCACGCTTAATAAGATAATTAATAATCTTGTTTATGGTTAATATGATTATAATTCAAGTGATCGCCAATAATAGTTTTATTTGTGCATTAAATTCAACCAACATAGATAAACAGGTTTAGGGTTAATCCTATTGATTGTATGTTAATCAAAAAGCGCACATGAATACGATCAGAATAAAGTAGAGGCTTATTATTAGGGCAGGTTCAATCTCTTTTAGGTTGGATTTGTACCATCATCCCCGAACCCTTATTTGGTTCAAGAACTTATGGAGTTGACGATCTCTTGGATCGTTAAGGGGTGTAACCTTCACCCTGTGAACGGTTTACAAGTTCCTAAAACTTTTTGGCGACTCTTTTGCTCTATCTTCTTCCCTTTTGGACTCCAATGTACTTTAGTGTATGATCACAGTGGGGTTCAAGCAAGGGGGTTAACGCTTGAAATTTATTCCCTACAAAAGGTAGTAGGTTTAGAAAAGAGAGAGAAAATCTTAGAGAGAAAGTTGATGATTCTAGATTGGAGGTCGTAGATTGAAGGAAAACGAAGTTTTTAGAAGGCTATTTATAGAGAAAATCAGCTAAAAAGATAGAAAATCAAAACATAGTTCTGACACAAAAAACGAGGTTATCGCCAAACGCTGACATTAGCGCCAGGCACTAACGCTAGCGCCAGGCGCTAATGACTGGCGTTTGGCGTTTGGCGCTAATTAAATTTCTGACGCGTTTTCTAAAATCAGATAGCAATTAACCGTACAGGAGGATAAAATCGTATTTTCCTCAAAAACATTCTTTTATTCTAATTAAAACTCTAAAAAGTCAACAAAATTCAATTTATCAATGCTAATTGAATTAGGAATAATAAATCCATATTAGGCCCTCCCCTAGATCATTGGGCCGCATATAAGGCTCAAACCAAGCCCGGTTTAGTAATTTGGCCATAACTTCCTCAATATTCATCGGAATTAGGCTTATAATATATCGTTGAAAAGCTCTTTTCAAGCCCTATCCAACTACACTATTTTTGGACCCTTATCGTGGAACAAACTAGAATGGATTGGCTGTTTTCTTAAAATAGGTTTTTAAAAACAGAGAGAAGAGAAAAGAAATTAAAACTATCCGCAACACTAGACTTTCCACACTTTCACTTCATTCGATTACGATTCGACGTGAAAGGTACTCATCACCGGGTTTGGTTTTGGAGAGACACAAATGGGTGTCTATACAAATGGGTGAAGCATATTATTGATTAATTGATGAGATCTTTGCTTAGGGACAAGAAAAGGTTTGTCTTGGGGGAGTTTGATGTGTCTATTTTATATAGTATTTTACCCTCGTCCCTTGGTCATAATTAGTAGTGTTTTTGGCTCTTTAGAGCCACTTTTATTACTAATTGGTGTTTTCTAGTGTTTTCGTAGATTTTGTTGACTTTTGCAGGGATTTATGCTTTTGGAGTATTTTCCCGAGATATTTTTGAGCAATCAGGAGCATTGGAGAAACACGACCAGATTCCATAGCCCAGGGCCGGTTAGAGCTATCGAACCGGTGATGTAAAAAGTGCACAACTATGGTACAAAACTTAAGTTGGCTAAAAGGGAATAGAGAATTCGATATTAGTATGCGATAATAATACAATACAAAAATCGAAAGTATATTTGAATGCTAATACAATATTTAGGCTCGCAAGTTTTGAGGCACCACATTATAAATGATTATTGTTCGTATAAAATGAAGCAATTTTTTCTACCACTTTTCTTCCACTTATTGCTTATTCATTTTTGTCAACACCTATATTTGGCTCTATAACCTGAATAGAAAGTGTTGAGATTAGAATTTCACTTCCTAACAAGATTGTAGACACCCATTTGTGTCTCCCCAAAATCAAACCCGGTGATGAGTACCTTTCACGTCGAATCATAATCGAATGAAGTGAAAGTGTGGAAAGTCTAGTGTTGCAGATAGTTTTAATTTCTTTTCTTTTCTCTCTATTTTTGAAAATCTATTTTAAAAAATCAGCCAATCCAGCTTGGTTGGTCCATGATATGGGTCCAATAGTAGCGTAGTTTGATGGGGCTTGAAGAGAGCTTTCCAACGATATATTATAAGCCCAATTCCGATGAATATTGAGGAAGTTATGGCCAAATTACAAAACTGGGCCCGGTTTGAACCTTATATGCGGCCCAATGATCTAGAGGAGGGCCTAATATGGATTTGTCGTTCCTAATGCAATTAGGAATGGTTTTAGTCTTCTAGATTCTTCTGGAAGGTTCTTTTCATTCCTAATTCAATTAGCATTGATAAATTGACTTTTGTTGACTTTTTAGAGTTTTAATCAGAATAAAAGAGTGTTTTTGAGGAAACAACGATTTTATCCTCCTGTACAGTTAATTTATATCTGATTTTAGAAAACGCGTCAAAAACTTGGTTAGCGCCTAACGCTAGCATTAGCGCCTGGCGCTAGCATTAGCGTTTAGCGCTAATGTCAGCGTCTGGCGCTAACTCTGTTTTTTCACGTCAGGACTCTGGTTCAATTTTCTATCTTTTTGGCTGATTTTCTCTATAAATAGCCTCCTAAAAACTCCGTTTTCAATCATTAACTCCTTAGTTTTCTAATTCTCTTCTCTCCCAAAGCTAGAAGCTTTATTTTTCTCTCTCTTTTCTAAACCACCCTTTTACAAACACAATTCCTCATACATTAGCACTAGACATACCTAGCATTGTTCGAAGTTGCCTTCGACCTAGACGTGAAAGGTTTGATTTCTGAGGGTTTGGTCCTAAATCTCTATTTCAATTATTATTTAATTTAATTGTTTTGTTTATATTTTCCTTGAAGTTACTAAAGTGTGTATTTTGTTATTAGAAAGAGGTACGAGACATCCAAGTAAGTGTTTTAATTGTTTAATTGATATTATGATTTAGAATCATGTCTAGGTTGTTATTATGATTCCTAATGTCATGTTAGGGTGTTTTGATCTTCCTAGTATCATGTTTAGGGTAACAACTATAATTTCTAATATCAAATATGACAATTATAATTCCAGCGATGCTTCTTATTTTCTTTCCTAATATTCATATTAGTATCATGTTAGGGCTATATATTTGATTTTTAATCTTGTTAGTATCATGCCTTCCAGACCTATTGGAGTTGACGATCTCCTGGATCGTTAAGGGGTGTAACCTTCACCTCGTGAACGGTTTACAAGTTCCTAAAACTTGTTGGCGACTCTTTTGATTTAGCTTCCTTCCCTTTGGACGCCACCGTACTTAAGTGTATGATCACAGTGGGGTTCAAGCTAGGGATGATGCTTGAAATATTCCCTACAAAGATTGACGCCTAAACTTTACATAGACTTTAGAAAAGCAAGCCAAAGTGTTAAATATTCCTCATAAGCCTAATATTTTAGGGACTTGTTATTCATCGCCCGCAAATCTCTACATAAAGCCCACATTTTATAATTTTTTGACAAATTTGCCCTTTTTATAATTTTAACCGAAGATAAATTTTTCGCACTAAAAAAATGTGGAGCAGCACCGGATTGCCGAGGATCACCGGAGAATCGCCGTCGTCATCGGAAAACGAGGTTCGTAACGCATCGTAAGGACGAAATGGTGGCTGGCGCCTAGCCAAAAGGCCATGCCGTGGTTGTGGCGCCTAGCCAGGACGCCGCCACCGTGGTAACGGCGCCTGGTGGAGAAGCCTCGACCATGGTAGTGGCGCGTGGCCCGGACGCCGGAGCCACGGCCAGAGCGCCTGGCCAGGACGCCGCCACCATGGCGGCGGCGTCCTGACCAGGCGCCCCGGCCGTGGCTCCGGCGTCCTGGCCAGGCGCCACTAGGGGAATATATATATTTTTTTATTTTTTTTTTATTTTTTAATTTAATCCCCTTTTTTTTTTTGTTTTTTTTGGTTTTGTTTTTGTTTTATTTTTTATTTGTTTGTTTGTTTTTATTTTTGTTTGTTTTTCTTTTTTCTTTTTTTTTTTTTTTTTAATTTGTTTGTTTATTTATGTTTGATAAATTTGAAATGAAATGTGTGTTATTATTTTGTTTTTTAAATGTATTATGCGTTAAATATAAAAATGATATTTAGAAATTTAAAATTTAGAAATTGCGTTTGTGATAATTTTGTGTTAAGTGTATTAATTTAATCTTAATGTAATTATATTTATACGTTATATGTTATTGTTACAGGATTATGGTGGAGACGGAAAAGATTACAGTGGGATTTTTGTACATGATGGCCTGTTCGAAGATGCTCAACAAGCGATTGATTGGGCAAAACAGGTTGCAATTAGATCAGGCTTTTGTTTAGTAGTGGCGGATGTGTTTCAAATGGGTGAAGACAACTACAGTTTAGTGCGGCAGTTGATGTACAGTGAAATCGCATCAAACCGAGATGTGTATGGCCATGTGTACGGCGAGGACTTGGATAGGCCTCTGCAGCGTATCCGGTGGGGAGGAGGACCTTGCGATCAAAATCATTGGTTCGATGCGCCACTTGATCTCTTTGCCGTTGCAAACATCTACAAGTGTGCAGTCATACATTTCGGCCTTGGTTTACATAGTCGAGCCTATTATCCATGTACAACGGTTCTGCCCTGGTGTTCGCGCGAGACCGTCACCAGACCGGTAAGGGACGTTGCTATTGGATTTCTTGGGCCGTCATACAGACATTTTATCCGATTAGACATGTCACCCGATTTTCCGGTCCCACATATCATACCGAAGTGGTATGAAATTCGTAGAGCAAGCGTGGAGGGTTGGGATGCTTTGTACCATGCTCGCGTGCAACAGTGGAACAATTTAATTGCCATGTAGTTTTTGTTGATGTACACCTACCTTTTACTATGAGGCCTTGTATTGTCAATACTATGTCATTTCTATGTGTTCATTTTTAAAAGATAATATTGAATTTTAAAAACTAAGAACAATAATTTCAAATATTACAAACTAAAAAGATAATATTGAATTTTAAAAACTAAGAACAATAATTTCAAATATTACAAACTAAAAAGATAATGTCTAATTTCAAATATCAGTAATCCCTCTGTGACGCCCACTGCCACTGCTCAAGAGTCCGTTCCAGATCGTCAATAACAGCTCTGCCTGATGCACTCGTCATGCAGTCCCTTTCCTCAAAAAGTCGGTGTCCCAACTGCATAATCTTTCCCATCCACTACACAAAACAAAAAACATGAAACGACGTATTATACATATATATATTAAAATAAGAGAACAACAAATAAAAGATGAGACGTACCGCATAAGAGGCAGTGGCAGGTGGCACATCGTCATCATCTGCGTCGTCGATGTCTTTGATCAACCTCGGGTGCGAGTGCCGGATGTACCATTCCATGTAGTGCTGGTCACACATGGCAGTCACCCCACTTGGCGGCCGCTGCAGCTCCGCCGTCCATAGGCGGGCAACCATCGGAAACTGCTCCCACATGGATATCATGTTTGCCGGCCATTGGACGACGTACTCCTTCGACGACGCAGATCGTACCGCCTTACTGGGCCATGCCGGTGGAGGTGGGACAACTTGGACAAATCCAAGCTGGCGAAGACAGCGCTGCGGCATGTACGCCTCTACGATCTCGCGATACTGAATCAGTCCGGTGTAGAGGGTCCTGGGTACCCTATTACTAGGGTTCTGGCCGAAAGGCATCCAGTTCACTTGCACATTATTTAAAATCAGTAACAGTCATAAAATAAAGCATCAGATTGTAAAAGTAGAAATAATTTAATCACTGTACCTCTAAGGGGGACATCCTGTCAAGCGATAACCGTATGGAGCGCAGGCGGTCAACGGACTTCTTCTCGACACGCGGACTCCACGCACAGGCACGTGGCTGGCCATCACCAATGGGAACCGGGTCGCGGTGTGGTCGAAACGCAGGAAAATACTCATATATCCAGGTCTGTAACAACGTCAGACATCCAGTGATACCTGCTGCATCAGCCCGGCTCGAGAATCCTAACTGGCGATACAGATACGCCAGCGTAGCCGACCCCCAAGAAAACTGGCCTACTCTGTCGGGCTCACACGCGTCAACTATGTCGCGTGGCCTGAGCTTGTTCTCGCTCTTATCCGGAAACAAGGTACACCCGAGAAGAAGAAAAACATATGCAGCCAGCTGTGTGTCCTGCGTCCTACGTGCCGTAGGGTGCAAACATCGCTGCAAGACGGCTGCGATCTTAACGCCGCCGTGATCCCACACACCAAGTGCCGATGTGTACAGCGCAGCCCTATCCACCGCCAACAGCTCCGCTAGTAAATCTGCCTGATCCGCATCAGTGACAACAGATGCTCGGTTTCCCTCCACGGGAATCCCAAGGATGGCCTCGACGTCATGCAACATGATCGTCATCTCACCGAACGGAAGGTGGAACGAGTTCGTATCCGGCTGCCATCGCTCAACGAAAGCCGTGATCAGCGTCCAGTCAATCATGTCGTGCATGGTGGCAGGAAGGTGACTCACTCTAGTGCCCCTCAATCGCCCGACCATCTCGCTCTCCTCCGGCCAAGCATCAGCCCAGCTACACAAAAACCTACAAGTCTTTTCCCGGGTTTGGCATTTCAAAATGCCTGTATCCAAAGCCCTCTCCTGGTCCTCCCAAATACGGGTAGCGATGTGTCCTAAAAAGCTAGGAATCACACTCCCGTCTATAGGTCCCCCGGCCACCTCACCCCTCACCATCCAAGAATCATTAACGGCCCTCGACCGTTTTCTGCTACCCGCAGACACAGTGGACGCAGATGATGTGCCAGATCTACTAACAAACCTACCATCTCGACCCTTACGCACATCTACCCTATGCGTCTCATACGTATCATCAAGCCTCTGACTGAATGGACCGTAATCATCATATGGTCCACTCTGATCGTCGACATCCTCATCTGCATCATCCTCGTCCTCGACCTCCTCCTCCTCGACCTCCTCCTCCTCCTCCTCCTCATCATCATCATCATCATCTTGATCGTCCGCAGAACAGTGCACCCGTTCTCTGCGGGCCGAGGCCGAAATACCACGGGATCTAACGTGTCTGGGCCCCGAGCTCTCCATTGAGTAGATCGTACTCCTCACGACGTCAATACTCTTCCCCGCACCAGGTCCAAATTGCGATGCCTAACTCCAAGTAAATAACGAAACATAATAACGAAAACAAATTAAAAAAAGTCGAAAATAAACACAAAAGCAAATAAACAAGTCACGGAAATAAAATTATAAACATAAAAAATATAAATATATACAAGACAATTTACATATAAACATAAGAAATATAAACATAAACATATACCAAAAACAAAAAATATAAACTACAAACAAAAAAAAACAAACATAAACAAAAACAAAAACAAAAAATATTACCAAAAACAAAAAATATAAATACAAAAAAGGACGAAAATAAACACAAAAGCAAATAAACAAGTAACGGAAATAAAATTATAAACATATACCAAAAATAAAAATATAAACAACACAATATAAATAAAAACATAAAAAATATAAATATAAACATAAAAACATATAAATATGAACAAAACAATATACCAAAAACAAAATATATAACCAAAAACAAAAAATATAAACAACAAACTAAAAAATGAAAAACATAAACAAAAACAAAAAATCAAAAATGCAAAGAAAAAACCAAAAACAAAAAACTAACAAAACTTAAAAAATTTAAAATTGCAAAAACTTAAAAAAAGAAGAACATCAAAATTTTAAAGAAAATTTATAAAAAAAAAAGGGAACTTATAATTTTTTTACATACAAAAATATAATTCAAAAAAAAAAAATACATAGGAACATAAAATTAAAAATTAAAACCAGAAACAATCTTTTTTTTTTAAAAAAAAATAGAACATAAAATTAAAACAAATAAAAAAAACAAAATTTAAAAAAAAAAAGATAAAAAAAAAAGGGAACATACAATTTAAAAAAAAGAAAAACAAATTTTTTAAAAAAAAAAAAAAAATTCGAAAATAAAATTTAAAATTAAAAAAAAACAAAAAAAAAATTTAAAAAAAAAAAAAAGAGAAGGAGGCGCCTAGGCAAGACGCCCGTACGGTGGTGGCGGCGCCTAGCCCAGACGCCACTACCACGGCCGTGGCGCCTAGCCTATGCGCCGCCGCCGTGGTAGTGGCGTCTGGGCTAGGCGCCGTCACCACCATATGGGCGTCTTGCCTAGGCGCTTCCTCCGTGGTGGTGGCGTCTCGCCTTGGCGCCCCACCGTCGCCGGAGGTTTTTTTTTTTAAAAAAAAAATTACAAAAATTTAAAAAATTACCTTCTGGTCGGCAAACCGCCTTCCGCCCACCGCCGGTGCCGCCACTTCCTTGCCGGGCCGCCTCGACATAGCTCTGGAAATAATTTAGAGAGAGAAAGTGGAAGTAGAGAGTAGAGAGAGAAATTGTGTTTTTTAGTTTGAGGGCAAAAGTGTCATTTCACTCTTATTTTGTGGGCTTTATGTAGGAATTTGCGGGCGATGTTTAACAGTTCACATATTTTAACCAGACCTTGAACGAACATCTGTACAAACTATCTTATTAATTTAGTTCAGAATACTAGAACAGCCAAAGCACTTAATTTAAATTGAGTTTTTTGCTAATAGCAACCATAAACGAATTTATAAGTCACACGAGACATCAATGTGCAACTATATGTAAACACCTAAACGTGTCTCCTCAATTCAAACCCGATAACGAACGATCCCTTATTGTCTTTTGGATCGAGTTGCTTTTCGGATAGATGAATTGATTAAGATTTTATTATTAGCCTAATTAACTCAATATTTTTTTTAATCATTAGCCTTTTATTTTAATTCTAAAACCTTTTAATTAGCCTTCTTTTGTTATATTCTAGCACAATTATTTTATTTTTGGCCCAAATTTTTTTAAGACCATTCCGAATATTTTTAAAACATGATCCGAACTTAAATCAGCTTTTTTAGAATACCAAAAGATATATATTCATCAAAGATTGGATTGTAAAATGCAAATGATAAGGGCATGTTCTCTTCAGCTTACTTTCAGTTCAATTTAGTTCTTAATTCCTTCTCTCATTAAATATTCAGTTCAGTTCAGTTCAACTCCAATCAGTTCAGTTCAATTCAGCTCAGTTCAGTCAATCAGAACAACCCCTAAGTACTCAAGAAGAGAGATTCAATTTAGTACAAAAGAAGTTCGTAAACTTGTCACATTTTCATGAGTTATAAGGGAATAAATAGAAGTTGGAACCTACAGAACGAAAATAAAAACTACGTGAATAAAAACAATAATGTAATGATTTATCAAGGTTCAGCTCAATCCAGAGCCTATGTTTTCCACGCCTTAATTACTCTTATGAATCAAATCAGAACTAAAATTTAAAGCAATTACAATGATTGTTCACCTAATGCTAGCTAAACTTTCTCACAAAATCCTTCAACCTCTATCAAATTCATCACGTTCACTAGATGATTGAAATATTATCACTTATACAAAAGCAAATTGTAGCAAATGTCTTTTTTAATGCATGAGATTAAATTTCATCTAAACTATTTTCCATTTAAATTATTGTATCTTTTTTAAAAAAAATAAGTCACAAAAATAATGGTCATACTTGAGTTTGCTTTAATGAGGGCAATAGCCCATTAACAAATCGCTTGTCCGCCCTCAACTGGTGATAAGTGTGATGTCGTATGTAGGATGAACTCGAGATGACAATACTAGTTCAATTGGCACATTCATTTTCAGCGAGCCAAGCCAAGACCTACCTTTGTACATTGGAGACACTGAGCTAGCCTGATAGAGTATGTAAATCGATACTGGGCTTCAATGATAAGCTTAAACTTTTGGTTGAGATGGTCCGTTAACATGGTATCGGAGATAGCGTGACACAAAGGTCGTCATGGGTTCGAATCTCATCCACCCCTCCTTTCAAAGTGGATTATTAAAACGCTAGGTATGGTGAGCCTCATGCTATATCTCAACCAAAAGTGGATTATTAAAAGAATGGGCTGAATGTTGTATTATTTTTGTCCATTTTTTCAACTAATAATCGTCATTACTAATATACAAAATTAATCCCCAACTTCCTAAAAAAAAAGTAATCCCCATCAGCCTTATCCCCAAAGTACACGTGTCGCGTTTGTATTAAAAAATTTCCTCCAAAAAACCTTTTTTTCTTTTTTTGTTCATGAAAATTAATAACATAGCTAATTAGAAAAAAAAATATGTGATGTGTCTATTTTATATAGTATTTTACCTCCGTCCTTTGGTCATAATTAGTAGTGTTTTTGGCTCTTTAGAGCCACTTTTATTACTAATTGGTGTTTTCTAGTGTTTTCGTAGATTTGGTTGACTTTTGCAGGGATTTATGCTTTTGGAGTATTTTCCCGAGATATTTTTGAGCAATCACGAGCATTGGAGAAACACGACCAGATTCCATAGCCCAGGGCCGGTTAGAGCTATCGAACCGGTGATTAAGGGCTCGGTGTAGGTGATACCGGGACATTTGGACCGAGTATTCAAGACCGGAAGAGGAAACACAAATTGGCCCGAAGAATTGGAGCCCAATCGTAGTCCAAATAGTGGCCCAAATGAGCCGCCCGGCCAAAAATACTGGCGCACGGCCGGGCAGGAGAAGCTTAGGCTGGCGCCCGGTGACGCGCCCGGCCGGGCGCAAGATTAGTAGTAATGAGCAAAAAAGGCGTGCCCGATCGGGCGGTGCCTCGCCCGATCGGGCGCGTGTATTTATTAGTGGACGCTTAACGTCGTTTTAATTTGTTTTAGTTTAGGATTTTTGTACGGAGTATAAATACTCCTCCGTAATACGATTTTAGAATCTCTTCTTCTCCTTTTTTTACTCTTTTTTTACTCTCTTAATTGTTCTCTTAGATTTCTTTCTCTAAAACCTTTGTTCTTAATCTACTCTTAATTCCAGATTTATTTTGGTAACGATTTCTCTTCCCTTGATCTTAGTTGTTTATTTTATTCCTTTCATCATGATTTATTTTATTGCTTTGATTAGTT